CGCCCATTCTAACAGGTTGGCAAACATCTCGTCACGTGATTCTCTAACGTCACGCAGCTCAACTGTCGCGTACTGACTTTTATCTAGATTACCAGATTAAAACTTTTCGATGATTTTTTCGATTTCTAATAATCCACACTTTTTTATGCGTGCTGGCAGTTCCTGTTTCCTATGAAGTTTTTTTCCCCGCCTGATTTTGTCTTTGTGCTTATTTTTGGATTAAAGTAGTGTGACCCCAAATATCGTAAAAAATAGTATCTCCTCTACAGAAGTTGAGTATTTGGTCTGTGTAACCATAGTATTCAGATGGAACACGATTTGCTGACTAAAGGAAGTCTCATGGCTCTCGCTATCAACGAGATCACAGCGGTCATTAGTCTCAACAAGCCATATAACAATGTGTTGTTCCGGCTGGAAATTAAATACTGAATTCCTAGTTCGGAAAAAACTTAAACTTGACCTGTATATTTACGTACATCTGGAAGAAAATATATCCATGCATTTATAAAAATCAGACTATTTTCCGTTCTCGCATTATGCGTGAAATCGAACGTGAAAACAGAACAAACAAAATCATACCGTCAATGACATCAAAATATCTTGTAGAAATCGACAAACGCGACACCGTTTTTCCCCGCTTAATATTGTGCTATTCACATCTGATGATGGTCAATTTTGATGAAGTAAGGTTATCTGAACGAACTATTCTTCTCTGAAACTTCTGACAACGAACTATAAAAATAAAAAAATCAAGTTCAAAATAAAATCATTTTTGCGGCAGACGTTTGAACCAGTGATCTCGCAGTGATCGGAAAAAAAACACCTACTGTATTCTGATGACGAGCTGAATTTTAAATACTACTGGACAATGAGGGCGCTACATAACCAAGTACAACCACCGTCATAACAAATGCACATGTTAAAACAAAGACTCTAGTGTCTTTTCTAGAGTATTTAGTTAAAACTAATCGTGAAAAACTATATCTGCTTCAAAAATTCAATTCCGGGGATACATTATACGTCACTCGCATGTGAACGCAAGCGAGTTCGATGGTTGTCGATTAACGTAGATAAAATAACAGAGAAGAGCTTCATCAACACCGTGTTTAGCCTGGCATGTAGGTGTGAGTAGCGCCATCGCCGGCCGAATGGCGTCAGACTTCACTAACGTGTTGTGCTTGGAGCACCGCGGAGGGCGCAACTCACGCGACCTTGTCAGGCCACACCGTGTTCGACTATTTTTGTTTCTTCATTGTCTTATCCCGTCGTCTCATCTTTTTACATCTTAGCAGTTATCTTTGTACAGATTAATTATGTCATGGGCCTGCTCCGTATGACAAGCCTCTTCACATTTGGCTTACGTTCAGCATATCAATACACTTTTTCTAAAAATCGCGCCCTCTTGTGACAAAGCGCTACGATGCGAAAGTTTTTAGCTTGGTTCCCGCCTCTAGAGGTCGCTATCTTCTTCGGCGATAGAGGGTTTTAGAGGTAGGAACTAGGCTAGAAATTCTGTAGTCGTCCAACGCCTTCAATCATATCCGTTTTGACGTCACATGAACACTCCGTTGCCAAATGGCGCCATTTATAAGAATTGTGTATTTCTTGCAACCAGGAAATATTCACTTGACTTGAATTTTCTACCTTTTGGTTAGAAGGATGAGGAAGAGCTGTAACGTCACGAATGATGTACACGTACTGAATGGGTCAACTACAGCTACATGAAGTATCTTGTAGCTTGATTGTGTATTCGTTCGCCAATCAAAATATAGTACACTTCTAACAAAACAATACCGTTGTTGTCGACGAACGGCTGTATCAATTGATCGCTAGAGGGCGCTAGGATCGGCAAGGGGTATTTTCGTAAGCTGTAATCAATTGTTTTTATTTTCGTAATAATGTAAATTCGTCCGTAATTTGTACAAAGATATTATTTTTTTTAAGCGTATAAAGCACTTTTCAAATTAAATTTCATAATTCGTATGCAATTTCCAATTTTAATTCTTAAACTCAAATAATCGAAAATATTATAAAAATGTAATTAGAAATTTACTTTATCTGTAAAGTGTAAAAACATATTTTATTTTACTGTAAATGGAATTTTCATTTTATTTCCTGTAAAAACGTAAAATGCTGTTTTTATTTCCTGTAACCTGTACCAGCTATCCCCCCTTGCTCCCCATCTGTATTGGTTTTTCCGTTGCATTTTGGGTGAATTCCACTGTGCCATTCTACTGAATATACGAGAATTGGGTGATGTCTGCAGGTATAAAGTTAAAGAGCTTGCAGTGCTACAGTCGTCACACCGCGACCTATTCGCCATGGGACCCACATCGGCATATACGACGCGTGTAAAATACATTGTTGTTTACGCGGAATACTAACACGCGCTGCGCGACGAATGTAGCGCATTGAAAGAGAGTCGATGAGTCACGTTACATTTATAACACTAATATATCTAGTTTCTAGAAATTGTTATCAGCACAGTCTCAGAAATGTCGAAATGTTTGAAAAAGTTGATCCAGCTTATCCAAATTGTTGGCAAATATTCATCGCACAAATGATGCAACGCCAGGTTATTCTGTTATCATTGCCCCGCGCCACCATGTATTGAAATAAATTCTAATATGCCTTATGCGTGACCCCGTAAGGTCACATGTCCAAGGGAAAACATACTGGTACGCGTATAAGTACGCCATATTACATATTTTCTCTCATTTTTGAGGGAAAAAAAACATTAAATTGTTTAATTACTCATTCTTTATTCATATCTTTGGATGAACAGCAATGTAAATGAATGTCTTGAAATATTCTAAAAAATAAAAATGTTGAAGATAATATAAAAACATGATTATTATTATTTATAAAACAACAACAATAATAATAATACTCTGTGAATTATGATTAATACTGTAAAAATATAATGCATTTGTGTATGTGCTTTTTTTCCTAATTTATGCTACCGAAATACTAGTAGGTTTACTAACAATAAACAAAATGGCCGCCGAGATCTCGTTTAGAGTGAGAGTGAGAGAGCAGCGAGACTTGTTTTTTGCAAATAGTTTTTTATCCTCTCCCGTTATTACTTCAACTGTTCTAAAGATATGCATACATGGATCAGTGGAACTGGAGGGGATGGAACTAGATTTGAGCAAAAAAAAAAAAAACAGGTCTCGTTCTCAATGAGATCTTGGCGGCCATTTTGTTCATGGTCAATTTAAGGAAGGCGATACTTTCCACACAGATGGCGTTTGCTTTCAACATGATTCGCACGTTTGTTTCGCTGGTTCCCGGCGTCCCTTGCGAATGGCAAGTAGGACGCAGGTAACTAGTAATCGCCATATTGTTCCACTGGGCCGGGATTCCGGCCCAAAGTCACGTGACTAAGTGACGTAATTTGAAAACATTCTAATATTCATTCAAGTCTTCATTACGCCATGCTCATACATTCTGTCTGCCTGCCCAGACTTACGTATTTGAGATGTTTCTGGCATTTCTCGCTGTTTCTGTGCAAATTTATAACAAAAGAAACCGTTTTATATTCGCCTAACTTTCGAGAGTAAAAGGAAACTCCTGCTCTAGGGCCACGAACGTAAGCGCTGACGTGAGGTAACCAAGAGAAATTGAACAAGCAACCAAAAAGTGACGGACCAATCAGAATGCCGGAACCGTTACTAGTTACCGGCCTCATGTGGCTTGGTACGCCATGGCACTTGAGGCGGGAACCAGCCAATTGTATAAAGCATGCAGTGAGCAAACGCCTTTTGTGTGAAGAGTGGGAACCCATAAAACAAGATACAGTATTTTCTCTTCATACGTTGCGTGTGTGGTTGCAAATAAACATGATTATAATTTACCGTAATTTTGAAATACTGTAAAAATTACATATACTAAAACGCTATTTCAGATCCCCATCCTATTAACATGTGATTATTAACCCAACCCTGTGTTATATCTACATAAGAGGGGGGGGGGGCTTTCTGGTGCTGAATATATGGTATTTGCAAAACAATGACAGATTTGAAATATAAGGTCCATCCAAATTTTGAGATCTACAATCCCTCTGAAATCATAGTTATAATGCACTATTCGGGGAAAGTAATTGATTGACAGCTAATTGCCACCTCCGTGTGAGTACTGTAAAAAGCATTGATTTCATGAATATTGCAATTGAATTCACTATTTTGAGCATATTTACTGGGTTTTAAATTCACAGATTTTCAATTGAAATAATAACATTTTTCGTATTTCCTATGTTCACATGGATTTAAAGGGCGGTGTTCGTCACGCCACGCATGCGCGAGATATGTGACTTATATGGATGGAGACAAAGATGGAGACTTTGACCGTTGCTTTAACTGTGTAACAACTTTAGTGACTGGAAGGTATCGAAGGAGTCACCGGCGGTAATCAGTGCACGTTGCGCCTAGGTCAAAACTCGTACTCGTGATTTCCATTACAAGAACGCATTGGATTGTGGGAAAATCAATGTTCATGAAAACAAATGTCGCACATCCACGGCGCGACGACCACCGCCTTTTATTTTCAGGGGTTTAGCTTGTTAAGGGAAATTGTAAAATTAAAACCCAGTGAATAATTAATGCACTCGTGGTATTGCAAAAACAACAAATCGGTTAAAAAAAAAATGAGGGTCGTGTACCAGGATGTATGACCTTTTAGGTTCACACAAAGTACCAGGATGTATGACCTTTTAGGTTCGAAGAAAGTACCAGGATGTATGACCTTTTAGGTTCACACAAAGTACCAGGATGTATGACCTTTTAGGTTCACACAAAGTACCAGGATGTATGACCTTTTAGGTTCACACAAAGTACCAGGATGTATGACCTTTTAGGTTCGAAGAAAGTACCAGGATGTATGACCTTTTAGGTTCACACAAAGTACTAGGATGTGTGTTCTTCACAGTGCATACACGTTAACTATTGGTCTCGTCAGGTATATCATGAAATGACAGATTATGTAAACGTTACTTTTTGGAATAATTTAAAGGCGATTGTGTTTTATTTTTTATTCAAAATACTAAGGTAGTGATCTGCTCTACTTATTGCAAGTCATGTCTAGGTAGTGAATTGTTGACGTCAGGGATTCGCACACAACTCACCACGTGACAGCTAAACAACCAATCACTTTTCTTAGATTCAAAAATACTTGTTATGTCAAAATGCAAAATATTTGTCTCAAAAAAGTAAATGTGTTCTCTCAATGTTTCTCACAATATCACTTATTTTTTCTTCTTTTTCCCAGACTTTTTTCCGGATTTCTTTCCTGATTTTTTTCCTGATTTTTTGCCAGATTTTTTTGCGGATTTCTTTCCCGATTTCCTTGCCGATTTTGATGGTGATTTGCTTCTTCCCCTGGCAGAGGCCAGTCCCTTTCCCTTCTTGTCTTTATCTGCCGGTGGTCTCTTCACCTCAACGTACTCCACTCTCTCGCCCTGACAACCTTTCTGTGTTGAAAAAAAGACAAAAAAAAAAAGTTGAGTGCGAAAGACAACATTTAAAGCGGGGGCGTCGCCTGTGCATGCGCGGGTCCCAATTGGTTCCCAAGCGACGATAACAACGTACGCTTAAAACGTTCGTGAGTAGATGCTTGTTTGTAAACAACGACACGCTATAGCCGTTTGCCGCCAGCGCAGGTGACGTTTTAAGTTTCGCGTATTCAGAACAGTAATGCGATTAGCTAAACGTCCTCCAATTTGATGGTTACGACTCCTTGCATATATGCCGTAACCATCACGTGACCATTAACGCATTCGCCATCTTTTCCGGTACTGTTTTCACGCCACTAAAGTGACTTAATGTAAAACGTACAGACCATTTTCCCAGAAGTCGAATATACAGTTTCGCACGCACACGCGCGCATATCGTTTTGTAGTGTAACTTAAACTTGCACTCGTGATACTGCGCTTGTGGATGTACCAATCGACGTGACATAAAATTCCCTTTTATCGAATATCAACAGACTGACAATGTTTGTATTTGCACCATGAAAAAGAAGTACCTCGTTATTGCAACCGAGTCTCGCTACTTTGTGTCACGTGTACGGTGCGCTTTCCTGCTAGAGGGTGCGATATCATCGGGCGGACATCCGGGCATTTTCTACCGCCTGGCAACCCTGGCGGTGAAAACAAAGACCAAAAACTCGTAGAAAACGGTACTTTGCGATAGTTGTTGAGAGTCCCCTGAACAGTGTAACAAGATTAGCCCTACGTGTGTAACATATATGAATTTGGTTGTTCAGGATTACTTCAAAGTTGAGTTTGTGTTGTTTTCTCGAGTTTTCACCGGCTCCACCGGCGTTCCACAGCAGCGCGCACAAAGCCCATATAAATACGTGGTACAGTGGTGCGCGTCTTAGCAACGTAGAACGTCCGTGACGTAGCTCCGCCCCCGAGGATACAGTTGCTGCAGTATTTATTGCTAACATTCTGCATCAATAATTTTAAAACATGTTTTTCAAAAAGCATTCTTGCGGTATAATTATAGTTATGGTTTGAGTTTTTTACGTAATTCGCATGTAGTAACATCTTAGTTACAAGAATACGATATTCATCAGTTGCGCCCTCTAACGACCAATGTGATCTGGCCTGAAGTCGTCTATAGATAGCGCAATTTACGTTACTCCCTCCGGCTGCATTTGAAGCCGGGGGGGGGGGGGTACTCCAAGTCAGACCTGGTACCCTGAAGTATAGTTTTTCAAAAAAGCCTCTAAACATGTACTTATTTTTGTGAAATTATACCGCTTTTCAAGTGCAGAAACTTAAAATAGATACCCTATATAAAAAAAATCACACTGTTTCCAAGTTGAGGTAACATGAATTCATGAGATTCCTTTTTTCACACTTTATTACTATATTCTAAGTTCCAACCGGCTTCAAGTTCAAAACACACGGTATACGCGTCAAATAACTAAACAAACCCCTTTTACGCGTTCTTTTACTTCAGCTTGCGTACCATAATTTATTTAGAGAACCCTCCCTGCTGGGATTTGAAGTCAAACCACGAGTGTTAATACTAGCATGCCCACGCAATGGTCACTCTCCGAGAACGTGATCACTGTGCTTCCCGTTATTACGTATCTGAACGCAGTAGCAGTTTTAGTCTGATTAGTTGCCAGGCAACAACATATAACTGTCACGCTTCGTTGCTCCGAAAAGCTGCTATTGATGGCGCTATTCACAAAAAAGAAAAAAGAAAAAAGGACACCACATTGAAAGGTTGAATATACTGTCTCATAATAAACACATATTCGACCACGTAGCCAAAAAACAAAAAAAAAAACAATATGAAATCTCGCGTTGGGATAATTTATTAATGAATAGTGAAGGGCGTTGGTCATCCCCCGCTTGGGTTTTACAATAACCCTTTTTAATATTTCAAAAGAAAAAAGCATTAAAAACCGTTCCATCGGGGTACAGTACATGCGTATACAAATTACCATGACTGAAACTCATTCGGCAATTTTTGTTTTCAAAAAATATCGATTACTTTAGGAAAAACCGTTGAAAGTTAAGCATTATGACGTCAAAGCTCAGATTACGTTCATAATGATGAAGCTGGACTATCTGTAATAAACTAATGTGTATTCCTTTTGGTCGAATCTGATATCTCTACGTGTAAGTGACATCAGCTAAGTGAGCCAGGTTCCCTGAACACAAAGCCAGTTTTCATAACAATATTCCAAAACAAATGTCAATATTGAGAAACATCCCATTGAGTTGGTATATAATATATTCATGATTTAAAGTGAGTTTAAATCGGATATATTGAATTTAGTAGTTTCTGCGCCATACCCAACCTTCATTTCAAGATGGCCGACAGGCTGGCATTATATTCACATCATTTGTTTCTAAGCATCACGTGACATATTGAAAACCGACAACGAGATGAAGATAGTCAAACCAATAACTAATTGTCAATTTATCAGGAAATATCACTGCCTTTCAGTCTCGTTTAACCACAATATTATCTTTAGTTTCCATGACAGTTCAACACTCGCGGCAACTACGTCATCGGGAGTCACTGACTACATGTCGCTGTCATAGCAACCGTGATGAGTGGAACAACTTTAGCACCAGTATAAACAAGCCGCTTGAAGCGGTGTCATGTATGGTTCGACGCCAGTGAAACAGAAATGATCTGTTATGTCTTTGCAGGGATTTGCCATTCACGTATAATGTGTGTATTCGCGCAGTCAAAAGCGGAGAACAGAGAAGGGCATCGACATGAAACAAAACATGATACGCAATTTCCACTGTCATGCGATTTCTCGTAATTTGCGAGCGTGAACAATGTATGTCGCGATTACGCAACGACCTACACTGTCATAAGTGATTTTGTAACAAGACAGCGCGGAGTGATACATTTTGTAACCATACAGCGTGGAGTGATATTTTATCTGACAGCTGTATCCTAGTGTACTGTGTCATTTTCCTCATTGTTTTGATCATGTGACAGGCGTTGTCACATGGGTTATGCAAGTTTTAATGATATTGACTTAACAAATTGTCAGGTAGACCATGTATCAACGTATTTAAGAAATATTAATATTAATATAAATGTCAAATGACATTTGAAATTAACTTGACCAATCACAACATGTTAACGGAAGTTTGCTGGCAGTGAATCAGTTAACGATTAAAGGAAACCCGCAAAGACTCATGGGTAATGGGTATTACTGCTTATACAGCCAATTAAAACGTATTCTCTCGATTTGAAATAAACGTGGAGTCTTCCAAGTTTAATGTTTCTTAAATATGTTACAAATTTCCATAAAACCATTCATGTTCTCATGAAACATAACATAAATCTTATTTTATTTCACGATAGTTTCCGAACATAAATATGAAAAACAAGTACTATACGAAAACAACGCTGCCTTCTAAAAATTGTTTTTTTGTTATGCCACGCATTAGTCTAACTTTTTAACTGTACGTAAAAACATAATTTCTGTTCTGTTTAATTATTTCTGGAGATTTACGATCGCCACGGAATACAACTGATATCGTCGTCATAGTTACTTACACCCTTTATATTATCCACTTTGGCATGTTCAAACAGAATACGTTGCATGCGCAGTCACGTACATTCAGGTCACGTGATACCGCCGTTACTGCTAAGAATATCGTAAGTATCGCATCTATGTTGATAGAGAATGCTTTTCAGCCTCGCTTTGGTGAAACCACTAACAACGGGGTTGTGATCTAAAATCACATATGAAGGACGATGAGAGTACTGAATCTGAGTCGGCAAGGGAACTGAAGATGCAGCATGGGGGATAGGTAATGTGATGTGCACAGACGACAAGAATACAGCTTGAAATATCGATTTCCTTAAAGGGCGGTAGTCGTCGTGCCACGCATGCGCAATATACTAGTATATGGATCTCATCTAAATAAAGATGGCGTCTTTGACTGTTGCGCAGACCAACAAATACCATGGACGTACGT